AATTATATTTTTATTTTATATAATTCCTATATATATATATATATATATATATATATATATATATAATATATGCCTATATACTGTAGTAGTTTAAATTTTCTTTTACCTGGAAATTTTACAGTAGGCCTACCCTAGTGTAGTATTCAGTTTTACTTTGCATTTTGCAATTTTTAATTTTTAGTTAATTTGAAGTTTAATTTTCTTTTCTATATGTGGTTTATTTTTGTATGTTTCGTGGCTGCACATGATACAATTTATATGAGTGCCACAGTATCAAAAGTGGATCCAATAAATCGATTGACTGATTTACGTGATTCAACGTTTAAAGCGGCTTCTTCAATCATTGCAAATCGATTAGGTCTATGTTTCTCACCGTATATTACATGAAAAAGCTATATAAAATAGTATACTAACTCCTTCCTTCCTTTTTGTTTATGAACCCAAAAAGATGTCATAAAATGAAATACTAATATTAATGAGAATACTCAAACGAATCTCTTGAGTACATACGACGTGAACGGCTATACAGGCCTATTTATTAATAAACCTTAATCGCGTATCTGATTTTGCTTTGGTTTTTGAAAATAAAATGAGGTATGACTATGTATCTGGTAAAAAAGAGGGCATTTTAATGGCAATACGTAACTTTTCTTTCGAAAAAAAAGAATAGTCTTCAAACCAACATAATCGCCTGTCAGTGAATGAACCATAATGACATAAATCAACTCTTATTTTACACTCAGAAACGTTCGATCGACAGAACTTTTTGTTCATTTGTTTTCTTTGATAGTACTATAGGTAAAAACAACATTATATAGCTTATTCAGAAGCCTAATTTCCTTTTCGATGAACATTAAAAATGTTCCATTGATGACAATCATATAGGCCTTAATAACCTATTGTTTGCAATATTACTTTAAAAGACGGTGTGTTATCTCAGTACTAACATAACAAAATTGCAACATCAATCAATCATACTTGGTAAAATACAGTAATATTAAATGAAAAGAACACAACATGATAAGAACTGTTTGTAAGAAACTATTTGCGTATCAATGTGAGTTGAGGAGAAGTGCATGAAAAGATTTCGCATTGTCATGTCTTGACACGTGTAATTTTTGTGATTAATAATAATAATGAAAATTTGTTTTGCGCCGGTATCCATCTAAAAAGATGATCATGGCGCATCGACACAACAGTGCACTTCAAAATCATCAACTACCCTAAACTCGATTACTGTAATGATGATGATGATAATAATAACGATGATCACGATGACGTGATGATGATAGGCCTAATGGTGATGATGAAGATTATGGTAATTATAAATATGATAATGTATCATTATTTTAAATTTATAAAGTGAACCTGCAAATATAGTAGATTATATATTAATTATAGTAGGCCTATTCCTTTTGATCGACCAAGTGCAGATGAATAATTATTCGATTGATTTATCTTTTATTTGATTGATTGATTAAATTAATTTTTATAGTGATTGACTAATTGCATTTTTAATTGGTAGAATAAGATTAGTTCATTAATTGCTTTATTGTTTGCTGGTTGGTTGGTTGCCTGTATGTTGGTCGTCGGACCGTTGGGTAATTTGCTGGTTGGTTAATTGATTGCTTAATTGATTGATTGGTTGGTGAATGATGAGATAAATCAATGGCTTAATTATTCGATCGATCGATTGATTTATCAAGACTGATAAGTCAGTTGATACCCATTCTATCCTACCCATTCTCTGAACTCATTAAAAGGTACGGTAAATGATTGAATAATTTATTATCACTTTAGAGTAAACATGCACACATAAAACATAGCGTAAGACAAAACATAGGACAGTAAATTGTACAAATTCATTAATCTGACAAATAATGACGCCACGTCACTCAAACGCACTGCGGGAACACATATTAGTAAAAGTGACAATCAGCATCCTGTCACATTTATACGATGCCTTAAAAATGTAAACGTCTACAACCAAACCATCCACGTGATTAGATGGATGTTCTTCGCCGAGTTAATGCCGTTAAACATTGTATCAAGCTTTGGTACACCTAGTGGTATTTAAAGCTTAATTACTTAACAAGTGTCTTAACACATGAGGGTGTATTCTAGTACAATTATGATCATAATGTCATTTGTATTTGTAACTAAAACATGTTTTAATCAACCTTGAGGCAATGGTAATAAGACATTAGCACGATACCCATAGTTACATTATAGGATTCTCACTTTCCGATGATGTAATGCAAAGTTCATCACTTGACCGACTTATTATTTTTAACACCACTGACGTAAGAGCAGCCTACGGCCGGATGAAT